CTGATACGTAAAACCATAGAACTCAAAGAGGGTGTACTTTCTTTTTCACAAGACTGTATATGCTTGTAAAATACAATTTACAGCTGTTCTGTTTACTTTTGTTTCAGTTCCTGGATTAACGGGTGTCCTTATGGTACTAGTCTTGTTCCTAATGTCTACCGCTTCTACTTATGCCATTAGGTAAGATTTAATCTCACCACTATATCAAGCATTGTCTTAAGTATTCATGGGTCTGCTTCAAACATGTGAAATATGGCCTATGCAGTGTTGCCTGACAAGGATGTGGAAATGATGTGAATGAGATGCAAACAGAGAAAAAAATGAAACATTAAAATCACTAGAAAGGGTGTCATGCTAGTGTGCAGTGGTAAAAATAAATACTTTTTCATTTAAAAGACTACAATCATTGAGTTGTAATCATTTAGTTCAAAATTGGTGAAGTAAATCTGTTGTGTTGGAGAGCCTTCTTGTCATTCCGTTGAGTGACATCATAACATGTCTTCTATCCTAGTGTCCTCTCCTGATAGCACTCATAGACATCTGTTAGGAGTCACCATGATATCAAAATGATGTTGCTGGTGTCATCACACAAACGACGCGGATTGCATCCTTCACATCCTTTGCGTGAGGACGTCACAATGCACATAATACCATTTGGCCCTCCTCCCTTCCTCTGCCCTGCAGACACTCACAATGGCAAGATAGCTTGCAGATACCTAATGGGGAAATCCAGATGCTGTCAGAGAGGAAGAGAGATCTATAAAAGCCAGTATGGGTGCACATAAGACAAGGTGAGAAGATGCATATAAGAAATAGATGGAAGAACATGTTACCACAACAAATTGCAACAGGATGCTCAGACTCTCCAGTGTCAGGAAAGTGAAACCAGATGAGCTAGGACTGTCAAGGAATGCTGACAGCTGCTGAAAAGAGCTTTTGGGACATAATCAAAGCAAGAGAAGATACTAAGGAACAGAACTGGAACTGAATGCAAGGATTACAATAATTACTGTGGCTATTTTTGTTTCCATCATGCAGTGCATAACTGTAGGAAAGGAACTGAAACACAACATTCAGGTGCAAATGACATACAGTTTTTTGGGGCTGGATTCCTCAGATTCCTTTTCGACCTATGTAATGCTCCAGAGGGTTCATATATATATAAGGGTGCTTTGATTCAATGAAAATCTGATAAAAATGCCCTTTTGAAATGAAATGCTGCTTCAATTTAGAAGGTAAAGGGGCTTTTCTGCATGTATGTGCCTATGCAAAGATCCCTTTTCTCTGGATTGAAGGAGCTGATGAAAGTGAAGCAACTATAGGTAGGCCTCAAGTTATGAATGCAATTGAGACTGGGATTGCTATCGCTAAGTGATGCAAACATAAAGCATGATGTCATGTGACCACATTGCTTAGCGACAGCAATCCAGCCAGTCCCGGTTGTCATAACCCAAGACACGCAAGTCGCTAGGTGAGAAGCAGAGGGAGTCCCAGGTAAGGAGTGTGAGGGTGCCACAGGAGGGTTGGGGGAGGCCCTAGGAAACCCAGTGCAGGCAGCAAACAAGTCAGGGGAGGGGGTGCTCAGTGAGGTGCGAGCAAAAAAAGCCTGTGGAATGAGGGTGCAGGATGCATGTGATCTTAGGGAGGCTGGGGAAGAGAGTGCAGGGTGTGTGTGACTGCAGGGAGGCTGAGGAAAGAGGTTGCAGGGTGTGCATGGTTGTAGGGAGGCCATGGAAAGAGGGTGCGGGGTACATGTGTGTGTGTGTGCAGGGAGGCCAGGGAAAGAGGGTGCCTGTGTGAGGAACTTGCAAGAGTAGTGTGTGAGAAGCATGGGTGCAAGTGTTGATCATCAAATCATAGAGTTGGAAGGGGCCACTGAAGCTATCAGGCCCAACCACTTGCTCAGTGCAAGGATCCAAAATTAAACTATTCCCAAAATATAGCTTTCCAAACTCTACTTGAACACATTCCAGGAAGGGGAGTTCACCATTTCTCAAGGTAATTGATTGCCTTGTCAAACTGCTGTTACTGCTGAGAAATGTTTTCTAACTTTCAGTTGGTATCTGCCTTCCTGTAACTTGAATCCATTATTCTGTGTCCTGCACTCTAGAATGATGGAGGACAGACCTTGACATGTTTCTATGTTAACATCCAACTAAGTGTTTGAAAAGTGCTGTCATATCTTCCTCTTCTTTCTCTTTTTCCTGCCCTTCATCTTTTATTTTTTAAAAAATTTTTATTAAAAGTTTTAACTACAATAATAAAAGATAATACAAACTAAAAAGTAAAAGAAAAATAGAGTAAAAGGTGCAAGAAAGAAAAAAGAAAGAAAAAATAGAGAAAAAAACAACACTAAAAAAGTGATTTCCCACCCTCATCATGGCAAGTATAAACAATTTTACTATCTCTTCACCTCCTTTTAATTAACAGATATAAATTCATCCCATAACTCAGTTCTTAATTCAGTGCATTGAATTGAGTCAATTCAGTGCACTGAAGATGTTACCTAGCCAGATAATGAAACATTTTGTCAGGTTCAGCCCAAGAACAACGACGAAACAGTACAGCCCAGCGTAGTTCCTTTATTGCTTACACACTATAGACAGAATCTCGCCAGACTAAACCTATGCCAAAGCAACTAGTGGATATACCCTGTGAGTGTCTAGGGAGGGGCCAGCCTCAACCTCTTCTTCTCACGGTCCTGCTGCGGGCTGAAAAAGTGCTTGCCTGGTCCCTTCCTCTGGAATGCACCCCCTCCCTCCTGATAGCCTTGATCTCCCATACTAGTCTCCTCCTTGCCTATGCCTTCCATTACACGTTTGCAAGAAAACAACCAAGCTCAGAGAACCCCAAGGACTCCACAGTTCAACCCCAAACTACACCTATTCACTTCTATTAATAATTTTTCTTTCTGACAAAAATGCATTTATTCTTTAAAATTAATTTCAAAGTCTTAATATTCAAAATCAAATATTCCAACATTTTCTGAGCCCTTAATCTATTTAAAACTTTCTATAGCCAAAACCTTGTCTTGCTTTTGGCTGCTTATTTTAAATTCTTAAAGCTTATAAAAAACTACACCTATTCACTTCTATTAATAATTTTTCTTTCTGACAAAAATGCATTTATTCTTTAAAATTAATTTCAAAGTCTTAATATTCAAAATCAAATATTCCAACATTTTCTGAGCCCTTAATCTATTTAAAACTTTCTATAGCCAAAACCTTGTCTTGCTTTTGGCTGCTTATTTTAAATTCTTAAAGCTTATAAAGATAGTTTCATTTTCTTATATTAAGGATTGAAGGCACTCACTGGTGTTTCCGACCTTGTCATTTTGAAGGTGTCTAACTTCTTTAAAGCAGTTAATAGGCAATTTCCTAAAGTGGTTAGCAAAGGAAGTGTGAACTTAGTGTCCTTTGAAGGCTCTGACTGTAGCTGGAGCAAGAATGGTAAATTCCTTCCTCTCCTGATTCTCCCACCCTCCAGAGACTGCTGCCTTGCAGTCTTCTCGTGAGGAGCAACCGTATGGAGCATAACACAGGTGATCTCACATCTTCTCTTTCTCCAGAGAGGATCAAAGGAGTCTACCTGCTCATTGGCTCCTTGTTCTTAGGCACAATATCGGCTCTGCTTTTGCGGAGCCATCTTCAGTCCACCATATTCCTGAGGAAGTCCCTGCCCTTCATCTGTTAGAAAATCTTTTCTTTTGTACAAAATATCTGGGAGTAAACAAATGTGTATTTTCTTTAAAAAGTCTGTCTTTTAAAAAGAAAAGAATCTCTGGAATAAGTCCAGATTTGAGTAATCAAATTTCGGCCTACTCAGCATTGACCACACAACAATGCAAAACTCTTTGATTGCCCGGTATTTAACTGTACTTTGTTCTTTGCAGGGTTTCAGATTATGACATATTTTGGTATACCCACAACCTCTTTTTTGTCTTCTACTTGCTGCTGATACTGCATGTTTCTAGGTAAGTGTTTATCTCAGTCATAACAACTGTGTCATGTTAAGTTCTTGTGATGTCAGTGCAGGTTTGGCAAAACTAAGTTCAAGAACAATGCCATTCTCCAACAATCATCTAGCATGCTTCCAGATGAATTGGGATGACAGCTTCCAGAATTCCTATATAGCTTGTTGGCTGGGAATCCTAGGATTTGGAGTCCAAAGGCATCTGGAGTGCCAGCTTGGGAAATGCTGATCCTTGAGGTTTCAAAAATGTGCAAGTTGTTATGGTCTGGGATCGGAGTGAGGATCATAATTTATAATTAGGAGGTCAAGTTCTTGGATTCTAAGAGCTACCTGGAAGCAAGACCATAGCCAGGTTTGGACAATATATCAAGCTATTGGGTAGTTAGGGATCCAACATGATATCAGAACATAGCTATTGTCTTAGCATTTTGTGTGAACCAGTCTATCAACTTTAAAGCTATGATATAGTTCACTTCAGGGGAAAAGCTTATTATGTGAACCCAGTCACTAAGTTTTGTTAACCCTTAGGCATGTTGTGTGAAGCTGGCCCACGTAACTGTCTCTGCAAATACAGCTTAGTTTTTGCAAACCTAGATTCTGAACTAGCTGCCTATAAAAAGGGGCAAAATGAAGTTTTGGCTGAAAATTGGTTGGCTTATTAAACTTGAGTTGAAAGCCAGCTTCAAAGACATTGTGGGGGGGGGGGGGATTTGAAGGATAATGATAGAGTATCTTGGCATTCAGAATCTTTCTTATTACAACTGATTAAATGTAATTAGTCTCAGTCTGAACACTGTGGCTATTCATTGATGAATGAAGTATTTGACCTTTCTAGCACATGTCTGCATACCTTATCCTGAATAGCTTGGATGTGTTTTAATGTAAAGAACACATCTAATCCTGAAAAAAATGTGCCTTTTCAGCCACTCACGTAATTTATAGCTGCCTTGTAGGGAATGAGATGTTGATATTGACAGGCCAGGCAAAATGGGCCGGGCCGTGATATGCACACGGGCAGGAACAATATTTTGTTCTTTTCTGGAATTTTTTTTTTTTTTTACATGTGGGAAGAAATAGTTGTTTTCTTTTTTAACTGTGTTAACTATATTATAAGTCTCATACTATCGTTTCTATGTCTTCCCCATCTCAAAATGCCAGGACTTTATGCTGTGGACTTTTTTTTTTTTTAAAAAAAAGGAGCTTGAAAGTCACATAAGATTTCTTGCTACAGATTGGCTCCCCCTCTGTGTTTTATAGTATAAGGGGGCAGTCAGGACATGGAAGCATACTGATTCATCTGAGAGGAAGTCAAAGTTTTTCATCCAAATAATGATCAGTGAATTGGGAAAGGGTTGTCTGATAAGAATAGAAGAAATTATTGGATACAAAGGAATGAATGAGAGGGACAAGATATCTTGGCTGTAGATATCTTGCTGCAAAGCTTCGGCAACTTTGAAGACCAGCTCTTGTTTGAGAGGGGCTCTTTGCCTGGAGATTTAACTCTTTGTAACCTCTAAATACGGGTTCTCTTTCTTCCTTTCTCCTTTCTGCCCAGTTACCTCTTCCCTTCACTTTATTTCCATGAAGTTTTGTTCCTCCCTTCTCTTCCTCTTTCCATTCCTCTTTCCAGTCTCATGCAATCTCTAGCTTTTCTCTCTCTCTCGCTTTTTTGGCATTTTCTGCTGAAAGGTGGAATACTTGTGTGTGTCTTGTGTGGGAGAAAAGAGTTTGGGTGTGTGTAAGAGAGGGAGAGTGGTTAGTATATGCAGATGGGGATCAATTAATTTTCAAAATGGGGCAACTTATTTTACAGGCAATTAATTTTAATTGCCAGTTATTAATTCAATTTTTTTTTTCCTAACCCTGCTCTTTCTTTGTAGTGTGACTTCAGGCAAGTGCATGTACACGCATTCTGGCAGCCTTATTATTTGCAATCTCATTATCTGCAGTTGTGCATATCCACAGTTTGGAAATACACATGTGACCTCTGTGAAAAGCCTCCCATATCCACACCTTGAAGTTCATTTTGGTATATGTTGAACATGCTGAAAATTTTGAACAGGTTTTTGCACACATGTAAAGTAGCTTTTTTCATGCCCCAATTATTTGTGGACTCATTATACTCCTGTGTTATCTGAAAGGGATTTCCTGTATTCACAAGGGCCATGTCTACATATATGTACATGAATATACACATGCATATATCTCACATGTACACATTTATGGTGGGAGGGAGGGAAATCTCCAAGATTAATTTCAGATGAACTTGGCAACTCTAGGTTGACAAAATGGGGAAGAGGAGCATGGCGCATGACTTTTGTCTGCGTGTATATTTTTTTTCCTTCCTATTCTTTTCTGAGTGGGGAGTCATCTTTCCTATAAACATGGGGGTAAGACTGGGAAAAAGCTTAAATGCACAGTTACCTGGACAAGATTCAAGAGGAGGTGAGCTGAGCAAAGAAGCTACTTCGGTACACAATGGAGTGGTTTTTAAGCATATGATTTGTCGTCCCAGTTAAACCTACAATCCTAGGATTTGTTAGAAGTCCCTCTTCCAAGTACTAACTAGAACTGGCTCCATTTAGCTTCTGAGCCCACCCCAGGCCACTCAGGTGTACCCATCACCCTTTTCATATGTGCCTCCTATTTCTTTTTTCAAAGGCTGATGGGCACTTTGTAAAAATTAGTGACTTGATACACAGGCAGAGAAGAGACTTTTTTTTCCCCCCAAATCTTGCTAGTTGCTATGAGGGCTAGAAAATGATTGCAAAGACAAGATGTTTGATTAGCCTTTACTGACATTTCCAAAACAAAGAGCAAGATTGCCAAAGGATGGGGCATTAGCACTCATCATATCTCTTAATCTCTTTGCTTCCACTTAACCAACAAGAACAAATGGAATTAGGTAGATGTATGAGAGAGCATATGGAAAATTGCATCATTCATGCCACATGCAAAATGTTGCTAATTTTTCTTTCCTTTTCCATCCAATGCATAGAACATTGCTATAGACACCTGAGCTAAAATTGGCTTTTAGCTGATTTGATTTGCCCTCTTTATTCTGCCTCTGGACACCTGTTTTGAAAAATCCTTTGGCCTCTCGATCTAGCTTATATGTTCCAGCTTCTTTCAACATTATTATACATCATCCTCTGATTTTCCAAAGCTGGAATGTAATCTGTAATGGCCGCAGAAATGTCACCTCTTGCCCTTGATGGTTTCAAGTTTTAAAAATGAAAGAATGCAATGGTTGACTAATGAATAACTCTGCGTTGGCTCCTTTCCCCAATTCAGCCAATTCTAGCCAAGGGAGCCAATCTCATGCTTCCAATCAAGGAGACAACTTAAAGGAATTGGAGGGGGGCTATCCTAGCGGTCTTAATTCCCTTGTCCTCTTTGCCTTGCTGGGATTTAGTTTGTTCTGCCTAGAAAAACAGCCAGTTTTGCCACTTGGTTTTGCCTAGGAAAAAAGCATAGATGTTGGTGGTGTTTTCAGTTACATTGACTACCAGGAAGGTACCATATAAATAGTTTCATCCTTGTTAGAACTCCTCAGGTGTAGGTAGTCAGATGTTATTCCATGCGGTTCAAACTCTCAACCAGGAGTTGAACTCATGGACCTTCTCACTTTAGATGACTATATCCAATGCATTCACTTTAGGACCTATCCAGTCCTGCTACTCAGTGATTGCAGGAAGGAATATCTAGAAGCTGTGTCAGAATAGTATATACAGTCCACCTTACCTTAAACTCTCAGAGCAGAAAGATACAGATATTACATTGTGTCATGCCCCAATGTACAGGGTTTCCACCTCCACCATCCTCTTGGAGGGGGTAGAAATTATTTTTTATACAGTGTACTATGGTATTTTCAGTTACACTGACCACTAGGAAGACACCACATGACTGGATTCCATGAGCAGATGGGTAAGGCCATTCCTAAGACTTCATCTATGTTGGCTTCATTGGCTTCATTGCTGAAAGTAGATATCTCAGATGTGCCCCCTGAGATGTGCGGAGACTCACCAGGTGCAGCAATTGATGGCAGGGAGGAGAAAGGGAGGGGAAAGATCACATGACTACACCCATAAAGGTGTCCCCTCATCTTCTCAATTGTCCAAATGATCTCTTCCTTCTCTTCCTCAACCATTAAACTTCTCCTGTATGTTTAGTGATGATTGTGAAGGGAGTGGCAGCAGAGGAAGAGATCACAGCAGCAGTGGGGTGGTGGCCCATTCTGACTCTGTATCATTCCTTCTACACAGGCTCATATTGGGGCCTTGCTATGGCTGGGCTGCAAAAGTCTGACTGTAGACATGACAGAAAAGAGATACTTCCTTTGCTGCCCTCTGAAAGTCATTTGAAGTTCTGCAGTCAAGATTAGGTGGCTTATCTCACACAATTGGGGAAGGCTAGTGGGACCCCTGTCTCTGTGGGCCCCAAGATGGCTGCTACCTCTGCCATCACTATTTATATCTTTAGTTGGTTTTAATCTAGTCCAGAATTGCTGAAACAAAAACACATGCTTTTGGGTTATTTTGAAATTCTTTCTCATGCTTTCCTCTTTCCTAGAGCTAAGTAATCTTTTTTGAAACTCCCCCCCTCCCGCGAACGTAATGGTTACTCATTCCTTCCTTGTTCCCAAGGCCAAGTCTGCCTTCCTTCATACATTGATCCAGTGGCATTCTGGAGAAAACAAAATGGAAAGTTTATTATCCGCTCCTCAGAATCCTCCCTTCACTAACCCAAAACACTGGAATCCCCATCCCACTTTGGGGTTTCTGAATGGGACCATGAAATTGGGAAGCTATTTACGACTCTGTATGAAACATAGCTACCCATTCTTTTTTAGGTATCATCTCTTGAGACAGCCCAAGTGATGGAAGTGAATAATGGAGCATCACTGCTATCAAGCGCTTTGTGAATTTCTAACATTGCAATAATGGATTGTGTACGTTGGCAAAGTTTCAGGACAGCGATAAAAAGTTCTACTGTAATGTC